AAAAAGATGCTTTATTTTAAACTGTGCCAGGCCCAGTGCATACCCAGATGAGACATTTGTTTGACCCTGCTTGCCCAACATCTGTATAGATCAGGCACTTCAGGGGGCCTTTTTTGGTGCTTTTTCATCTAATAGCTGGCTGAATCCATTTTGGGTAAGTGCCAAGAAGTCCTGCTGAAGCACCTAATCTATACAGACTCTGGGGAGCCAGGTTAAACTAACACACTACCTCCTTCGAGTAGTGTGGCTTGTTTTTGGTTTTTTTCCACATCTGTTAGCAGCCATGATGTGTAAAGTACTGATGTTCACTTACACCCCTTCTTCCTCTTCCTTCTCTGTACCCTACTTCTGTTACTGAAGGCCATCAGCAGTGCTAAGCAATGTCTTGGCTGCTAGAGTCTGTGCTAAGGATGATAGGGCATGGGCAAAAGAAGCTGCAAGTCTGAAGTTATGTATAGCTTCATAGATTTAGGGTTGGAAGGGACCTAGTAGATCTTCTAGCCCGACCCCTAGCCAGGGCGGGAGAACAACAAAACCCCAAAACAAGAAACGAGACTCAAATGAGTCCAGCCAGGTAGGCATCCAACCTCTCCTTAAAGACCCCCAGGGTAGGGGCCAGCACCACTTCCCTTGGAAGTTGGTTCCAGCTCCTAGCTGCCCTAACTGTATAGCAGAGAATCGGTGGACCTCATGTAGATGAGCGCATCCTATGAAGTCAGGTGCTTTGTCTTCTTACCCTATGAAAGCCTCCAGCTGAGGCATCCTACAAAATGGCTGTCCCCTGAGAAGTTTCCATAGACGCATAGTCTTCCTGTGAGTGCTTGTGTTCTGTCCTTCCCTCCTTGCACTCCAAGGGCAATAAAGGTTTTTACAGGGAAGCTTTTCCTCTAAGTGCTTTGACTTGTCCATGTTCTTTACATGACCTGCCACATCCACAGTGCCTTTTAAAAAATGCCTAACAAGTCATGATTAAAAAAATCTTCTAAAATGATTAAGTCCCAGTAGATAACTTCATGCCTCTTTTCTGGGCTCCTTGTTTGCCGTGTGCATACTGTGTTCATGTAACTACTTACGTGGGTCTTCTGGACAAGCTTGCACCTTCAGTTGTAACTATGCCATCCCTTTATCAGTGAATGTTGTAATAATGGAAACCAAATATAACACTTGTCTTGCTGCTTTCCTCATTAGTTGGTCTGTCTAGGTTTGTGAGGCTTTTTGGGGTGTTTTTTCTTGGTTTTTACTCTGGCACTAAACTGTTATCTGGCAATCTAAATGAGAATTATTCAGGTTTTTCTCTGCAGCCTTCTGTAGAGGATATGATGGAGGTCTACAAAATCATGAAGGGTATAGACAAAGTGAATAGGGAAGTGGTGTTCCGCATGTCTCAATACTAGAATGTGGGGGCACCCACTGAAATAGCAGGAGATCAGTTTAAACTGAATGGGAGAAATACCCTTACACTATGTAGTTATCACAGTGTGTAGTTTAACTTGTGGAACTCATAACTACAGGAGGTTGTAGAGGAGGACTAATATAGCCAGGTTCAAAAAGGGACTAGATAAATTCATGGGAGATTTAGATCCATTAATAGCTATTGATCAGAACAGTCAAATGATTCCTCCAACACAGGCTGTCAACTGGGGGTATGTATACCCCCAGGGGTATTTGAGAAGGCCCTAGGGGGTACACATGGGTGGACAGGGACAGAGCACTGCCATCCACAACCCCATGCTGCTGCCTCCCAGGAGCAGGGGGTGGGGAACAAGAAGCTTCCACCCCCCCCCCCCCCCCC